TGGCGCTGGGACGCGGCAGTCTCCGCATAGAGACAGTGCTGTGCGTGTCCGCTCTGTCTGGCRCAGCCCTTTCCTCTGGCAGAGCAAGGTCCTCCTCGTCTCTGTGCAGCTGGTTTTTATGATGCTCTTCCCCTCTGGCAAGGGCACGTGATGAAACAGCACGTGCTCCTGATGATAACCATCCCCAGGCTTTCCTGGGGACTCGGTGTCCTGTTCGAGAGGACAAGGTGCTCGTCTTTGAAATCTGGGTGCAGGTTTCGTGTCTGTTAAAGTCAACTGGAAATTGCTTGATGAGGTGCAGCTGGGGATCACTGACATGCAGTTTAGGTGATGGTTACAATTTCTATTTTTTTGTTAAAATTCCTGTTTTTTTTTTTCCTCCACTGTTAGTGTCCTCCCAAAGAAAAWGTGATTTGAGTAAGTTACTACTTGCTTTGCATGTCAGGATTGGGAGTATCGTATCTTGTAGAAGACAGGTGTAATGGCAGTGGTGCTAGCTGCATGTTTAACTTTTATGCACAAACAAATGCAAAATGAATTGGGAATAAATAGGAGCTTATGCCTTTCTGATGGCTCATGCTAGCTGTGACAGCAATAATACTTCTGCTATTGTAACTGCAGCCTTGGCAATTATTGTTAGATAATTAAATAAAACTTRGCATTTTGCTTAGCATTAAATTTTTAAATAATATTTCTTTGCAAGATGACTTTTCTTTTTCTTTTTATTGCCAAACCTAGTTAGAGTCTCATCCTTGTGAAATAGCAGTTACAGAATGAGCRGGAAGCTGGAGGTCCCAGGTCAGTGCATTTTAGTGGTGGATTTTTTCCTGGTTGTTTCAAGAAGACACGTGGTGGCTGCATGGCACTGTCTGACCTTCCTGCTCCAGAGCAGTGTGTGTAAGGCCACAAATGCTGCGTGTAGCTTGGCCACTCTGACTTGGTGCAATCGCCAAAAATAGACCGAGTGCTAAAAGCACTATTTGCTAAGCTGGATTTTTTTTCCCAGGCTTTTAGCATCTTTAAAAATGATGAAAATTATAAATATTTCAAACCATGAAGGGAAGAGCTAGACTGTATTTTGTGGTGCAGAACTGGCTGCCGCAAAGGATATCACTTCAGAATGAAAGTTCCTAAGGAAGGGTGAGGCATAAAGAAAACCCTCTTCTGCTCATGGAAAATAATGGAGAACAGAGAAACAAATGAATTACTAACTCGGAAAGGGTCATACCTGTTAGCATGTGTCCTCATTTATTCCCTGGGTTGCAAAGTAGTGATTTCCAGCATATAGAGGTAGTAAAACTCTTCCCGTTTGAATGCTAGGAGTGCAAGAGGGGCTGCTGCACGTGGGCATGCAGAGGTGCTGCTGCAGGAGGGGCGAGAAGGGCCGTGGTCGGGGTTGGGTGCAGCCATGGGGCTGGCAGGGGCTGCTCAGCACTAACAGTCACCGAAGCATTAGCTCAGGTTTCAGGTGATGTTACCAAGATACAGACCTTTTGACTTTTGATTACATCCTTTTTCTTCATTAAAATTATATATTTTTATTAGAAGTCTGATACTATTATTTATCACTGACAATAAATCCTGTCTCTTTCTGCAGAGAAAAAAATACATATAATTCAGCTCATAAAAAGGGAATCTTAAGCTTCATAAATCTATTAAAAAACTATGTTGGATCTCCAGGCAAAATCTGCATCTAAGAGGTTCTGAATCTGAGGTCCCAAGATACAAATGAAAATCCTAATTTAAAATGTGGGAATGAAATTCATTGCTAGAGTTTTATTTTGTCTTGTTGTAGGGATGTAAAGAAGTAAAACCAATGAAAATAGCATGTTCGGTTAGTCTTGCATTCATCCACCATCGCTTCTGCTGTGTTGTGGGACCTGGGAGTCTGTGTTACTGGACCAGCAGCTCCACCAGTGTTGTCCAAAGCTCAGTGACAGCTGGAGGTTTGTGACCTGCATCTGCTTGTCCTGCTTTCTCCCTGTGCGTTGTGTGAAGTTAAAATAGCTGGTAATTTGTAGGGGAGATCTTGAGCTGTGTTGGCCGTGATGAGTCCTTTCTTTGTAGATGAATGAGTCAAAGGATGTGAAGCTTGAAGGAGAAATGTTATTTTAAGGAGAGTTTGGGATGCTGCAGGGTTGCTTGGAACACCTGGGGGTTTCCTGCGCAAAATGGGCTTGCCCCAAGTCTTGGCTTTGCTCAGACAAGCTGCTGTACCRTCAACCAGCAGCAAGAGGCTGGAAACACCCTCCTTCCCCCGCTGGTTCGGCCTCTGCTCCGCGCCCTGGTTTGGCTCCGCTGTTATCTCCTCGCACAGTCCCTGGCTGGGGTTTTTAGTGTGAAGATGCCAGTTTAAGTGCATAAACTGCCCTTTCAAAGCACGCTTTTGTAAACCTCTTATCGCCTGGTGATGTTTCAAAAGTGAACACAAGAACTTCTCAATGAACGTGCTTTGTTTCCTTTTTTCAAATCCTCAGAGAAGATTTTGTTTTCTTGTAGGTTGGCTGTAGTCGCTAATTAACTTTGTTAATTAATCATGCTATAGGGATGAAACACGCTTGATTAAAAATAAATGAAACCATACAGCAACAAAGTAATGCTACTGATTTTTTTTCCCCATTTAAAAGCAAAGATTAAAAAAACAAGATTAACTTTGAAGCTGTATGTCAAATGTTCTTTGCATTTGAAACATCTGAAAGGCTAAAGCAGCTAAAAGCTTATTATTTTTACAGCTCAGGCATAGTGAAAGTGCTTATCCAATTGTAATACCRTGTTTAAAGTAAAATCTGGACTAAGAATAGTTGCTGAGGGTTGTGTCTTAATCATAACTGCCTGAGATGGGGGGGATGAGCAAGGTTTGTTGAGTCACGCTTACGCACGAGGGTCCTTGTTCTCTCTTGCCATCTACCTTAAAAGAAAGCTTCCAACATGGCAAATGGGTGTTAAATGCTCTTGGCTCCTAATGGGATTTTGACCACGTTTCTCCCTGCTTATATTGGCATATATCCCTACAGAGGTAGTGGGGAACGGCTCGCCGCGGGCGGCGGGCCAAATGCACTGCAAATGAAATTCGATGGAATTATCTGCAGGATTAATTTGGTCCAGAGGCACCCTGAGCCCCTGCCATGTGTCCTACTTAAATGAAGGTAACCATCTGCTCAGGTCTGGCCTTAAGTGCTCAGCTTCTCCATTTGCGGAACGGCGCCGGGAGAGGGAAAATGCACCGGGATCTCTCCAAAATGGGAGTGCAGGATTTGTTTGCCTCCAAGTTAACTTATTTTTAGAGCATTGTTGGAACAGATGGCTTTTCTGAAGCCCCTCCTAAAAGGTTTTTCTCATACATGATAATCCATTTTCTTTTTTGCTTTATASTATTGAAAAATAGTTCTGTTCCTACTACCAGGGAGGTTATAAATACTTGCAAGCTAGTACCAGCATGGCTATTTTTACCCTGCTTCGTAAGGAAAAAATGTTAAATTCTTTGGGGATCTCATCTAGTATTCTTGCTCAGAATGAGGAAGAGATTATTTTGCTAGGAAGAGACCTCTTCACTGATGGAGCTTGAATGGAATTTAGTTTCATAAAAGTTACAGAATTCCAGAAATGCTAACTAATTCCATGTTAGGGATAATTATAGAGAGAAAACGAGTCCGTTTTCCCTTCTATAGAAGGAATAAATACATATCTGTATATATGTGTGTGTGTGTATATGTATATTTGCAGATCGCTTGCAGGAAGTATAAGGAGGAGTGGCTCGGGTCGTTTTTTTTCCCTCCCTGGCATCTGCTCTCATCAAACATCTTTAGGCATTTGTTTTGCAATTAAAAAGTCATCCCCCCCCCCCTCAAAGGGTGCACTAGATTTTTCCACTAAAACGTATCAGGGCAGTGAAGCGGTGCGAGAACGCAACTGGCTGTTTGCAGCACACGAGCTAAATCCTTGAAATAGGATTAAACAATTTTGTAATTTGTCTGTAATAGTACCCGGGCAAGGGTGAGGGGGGCTGTATGTGCATTTAGAAACTGGGGTTTGGGGTATTTGAATCTAAGGGTGTTCGTGTTGTGCTAATGCCGTTTCCCAATGTTCAGTAGTATCTCAGATGCCCAAAACAGGATCTTGAGATGGTRTTGGAGTGACACAGACACACCTTCAAACTGGATTTTGCCTGTGCTCTATTTGGGTTTCACCAGTGTTCAGTGGTTTCACATTCACAAACCAGAATATTAATTGTACCTGGTATTCATCTAATAAAATGCAAAAATAAATGGAAATTGTTCCAGCTACATGGAGAAAGGGAGAATAATTTTTTAAAAGTGGGAGCAAGAGCCCCCTGCCCCCAGACTTTGCAGCTGCATCTCAATAAGGCAGAAATTCTCTGGTAACTTCTAGGAGGCCTCATTTTTGGGGGTGAATTCCTTAATATCTAGAGCTCTGTGGGGAAGGTAATTTCTGTTCCACTCTAAAACTGAACATTTTTTTTTATTTCACAGAATGCAGGTCATTTGACAGAAGCCCTCTCTTGGTATGCTTGATTTTGGGCTTTTGGTACCCTGATACCTTAAGTAAAACTTATGTCTGCTGTCAAGTGTTTTCATTTCAGTGAAACTGAATCTCTGAATTAAAAGTAATCCTGTGGAAACTGTCCCAGGTGGCTTTGCCCTAAACCTTTGTTTTGTTCCCTGACTCCCGTGGGTTTTGCCCTTGGCTCCGCATTTGTTTGAGGGAAGCAGAGTGTGGGAGTTGGGCTAAGGAGTTGAGCTGTCTGAGGCCCCACTCTCCTGCTAGTGTGAGTTTCACATTCCTGTTCCTCTTCTTTCTTCCTGGTGCTGCTAAAATGCCCCTTCCAGGTTCGTTTTGGGCARGAGTGTTCAACTGTGTGCGTGGTTTCCCAACATCATCCTGCAAAGCAGAAATGGCTTTTATTCTCACTGGCCACACAGTGTAGTATTTTTTGCCTGTGCACCAAAGGATGTGACTGATTAGAAGACAAGGACGTGACGATGACCCTTGTGGAGCAGCAGGTCTTCCAATGTCCTGTTCTCGGCATCTCCAAAAACCAGATGCTCCGGCTGCCTTCTAGGGTATGGAAGCAGGTGGTTGCCAGGAAAACTCTCCCAAAACATGGAGTTTTCTGCTTAAACGGAGAGAGGAGGGGAGAGAGGTCTGCTTTAATGACCCGAAGTATGTGTTGAGTTACGGCCAAATGACACAAGCGCTRTCGTTTCCCTGGTAATTAGGACGGTACTAATAGATAGGTCTTCCCTGGCACAAGTGGTGCCTGACAGTTGGGGTCATGGAATTAGATTAAAGGCTGCGTTTATTGCRCGAGCAGAAATAAAATATAGGCTGTAGTGGGTTTTGTTGAGTGAAAGAGAGCTGTTTGATGACAGGAATGGTTATAGAAGAGGTGCTGGGTGTCCCAGGGGACTTCAGCAAGGCTCAGCAGGATTGGAATTCTTTGGTGGCTTGGCCAGTCCTGTTCTTTACAGCAGCAGAAGAACTAAAGAAGTTTGAAAATATCCCCTGCGCCTTTTCAAGACTTTAGGATTCATTGCAGTGCCCAAACATAAGATGTGGGTCTCTTGGTTTTATTTTACCCCCCAGTTTTTGGGAAGGTTGGTTACAAAGGGACTCTAGAGGTCCCTTCCAACCTTTCCCGTTCTGTGATCCTGTGAAGGGACCGGTGCTGCTCCCGTGGCCAGGGCCCTTAGSAGGCAGGGGGAGGATGTTTCGAGCGCTGCTCTGCCTGTGTGGGAGTCGCTTGGTGGCTCTTGGGCTGAGCAGAGTGGGAGAAAGGAGCAGCAGTTACTGCCTGCCCAGTGGCCTGTCTTGCAAGGCTCGGTCTGGTGGACGTACTGCCCTGAAATCAAAATCTCTGCTGCAGTTGCTGTGGTACAATATCCCAGGTAAGGGCTGGAAGACACTCAGGTAGTTCAAGTCRTCCTTACAGATTATTTGTTCATCTGCAAAGTTTGTATTTTATTGTGAACTGGTGAATTTTTCTGACCCTTCTGCAGATTGCTTTTCTTTTAAAAATAAGTGGTATTCTTTCAGGAAAAAAAATGCGGGAAAAAAAATCTTTGTTTCTTTTCGAATCCACTTTAACTGATGCTAGTTGCTCCAGGTACCCTGTGCTCCCTCCTTTCCTGTCCCGCTCAGCTGCCGGGGCAGATTCCCTTCCCGCTCTGCCTCGCGGCACCGGCGGCTCCCGGGGCCTAGGCTGGGCCGGGCGCTTCCTGCTTTGCCCTCCCCGCCGGGGCATGTGCTCCTCACACATTAACCACCACTTTGCTTCTCTACATCCACTACACCGATATTTTTCACAGCTTTCCAGGAGAGAGTGTGTCATGGCCACCAGGTCCTTAAGTAAAATAGTTGCTCTGTGGTATGAAGGGGTACAAAAAAAACAGGTGGATTTGGAGAGGGAAAAGAAAAGGTCTAATAGTTCAATAACTGCAAAATCGCAAATAGATTAGTTTCTTTAAAGCACGTTTTTATGGATCTGTGGATACCTATGCCTATGGGAGCCTCTCAGCCGACTGGTGTTGGTGCTGTGCGGAGGGAGGTGGGTGCCTGGGGCCACAGGGGAGTAGCTGGCGCGGGGTCATGTCCCCCATGGCCAGAACCCGGAGACGTTTTGGGTCGGAGCGCTGAGGGTGAGAGGCCCTGGCTTTATCCCGCCCAGCCACCCCCAGACGAAAGGGTAAAAGGGCTGTGAGACAGGGCCAAGAGCGAGGTGCCCACACGGCGCGGGCCTCGGCGAGCGGCTCCTCACGCGCTTTTCTCTCCGCAGGGAGAAGCTGTCGGTGGCGCGGCTGCAGCGGGAGGTGGCGCAGAGCGAGCGGCACGGAGCCATGGTAAGAAGCGCCCGTGGCCGCCTGGAACGCGGGGCCCCAGGGAAACATCCCTTCCCAGGAGGAGCTGTCCTGGGGAGCAGCACGTTGCCTTTCCCTGCCCCGGGGAGCAGCGCGGGCCCCCAGCAAGACCCATGGGTCCCGAAAGGCAATTCCGCCTGAAAATACCGTGGATTTCAGTGCCTGATAGATCTTTCAACCATGGAAAAGTGGAAGCGGAGACTTAAGAGAACAAGTCAACCCGATAATACTGAAAATCATGTAGTGCTCTTTATATCTTCCTTTTTCATGTAGCAATTCCTGAGATTAGGCCGGGGAGCAAAAATTGAAAGGCCAGTTTTTGCCAGGCACAACTGCGCGTTTGCAGAGCACCTTATCTCTCCGCAACGTGTCCTTCGGGACGTGGCACGCACTTCGGGAGCCCTCCTGTCTGGGGAGGTTGGTTGGGCCCTACMTTCATATAACTGCCTTGGGATCCCACGGCATCAAGCAGGCGAGTTTGGAAAGCCCAAAATCCAGTCCCTTGGTGTTGGGAATGGCCACTCTGGCGGGGATGGCAGATTTGCCCCCTTGTGCACGGGACAACCCGCTCCCCTGCCCTCCTCTCTGCTTTGGCCATGAGAAGGTTTCGCTGCGAGGTGGGAGACATGGGGGTGTTGGGCACGCAGTAGCGCTGTGCGTGCCGGGGCTCTGCAGGGACCACGCAGCAAACTTCGTCCTGTCAACACACAATCCTGCAACAGAGGTAGAACTCTTGCCCACAAAATTCCCCGGAGGGAATTTTACCTCAGCAAGAAGACAACAAAGACCTGGCATTGGTTTTGCAATTGTATTTTTCATGGAGAATATGTGTTTTAAAGCTCTACATCGGGAGCTGCTGGTTAATTCTCGCTATAATTTTCAACTTGCTTTCGCCTTTTTAAGCTAAGCCCATTGAAGTTAGAGGCAGGAAAGACTTGTTGCACTCTTGGTCAACCACCATTGCAGGAATTGCTGCAATGAGGCTTGTTTGTACATTAAAACAATAATGAAAAAAAGGTATTAAGCATGTGTTGTTGATACTACTTAGGCTGTGACATCTTTGTTCAGAAATGGGTTTGCATTTTCTCTAGAAATAACATATGTTGAGTAAAATGCGTTTTTATGAGACCGCTTTTTAAAGCCTTATGTGCACTATATGGCAAGGGTGCGACTGCTCCCCACCAGCCTTCTAGGAAATGTGTTGTTTCTTTTTTGTTAATATGTGCCAGTGCTACATTTTACATGGCTGATGTATTATTGAAAGTAGATAGGTACTGGAAAGTACTATAAAAAAAAAGAGATGAAGACTTTTTTTTTTTTTTTTTGAATAATACCTATTTACCCCTCCAAATATATGAATGAGCTCTAATGGTTATTCCATGTGACTCTTGCAAATGGGATACCTCATACCTAGCATTGAGTGATGGTAGGGAATAAATGGTTCACCTTGGGAGAACTGGATGAATTTAGACAGTGAATTGCTGGTGAATTGCTGAGGTTGCCTTATTTTATGAACTAATATTAGTAAATGTTGATGGCTTTTCATTACCAAAATGTACAACTGTTTTGCCAGTCAGCCTACTACAAGTATGAACAGCATTCAGCCTGCACTGTGGTGAGTTTCCTTTTGTAGCTCTGAGACCTTTAATGCACGGGTTCATCTTTCCTAGTCGTGCTGCTTCTCACTCAGAGGGGATATTTTACCTATTTGTAGAAGTAAAGCAAATGATCTCTTTGCATGCATATGGTTCTGATTGAACCGCACAAAGACTGAAGACTGAAAGTGTCTGTGTTGACAGAGATTGTATTATTAAAATCAACAGCTTTCAAACTAAGTGAAGAGTTTATTTCAGAACAGCGTAAAAATTGGAAGCACCTTTTCTCATCAAACTCCTATTTTTTTTTTCACTCATTTAATCAAAAAAAAATCCATAAACTTTAAGTCAGACTTTCAATCTTTCAGAAACAGATTGGGACCTGAAGAAGTGCTTGTTTTCTGTGTAGTTGCATTAGGGGTGAAGGGTGTCTGATCAGGAAAAATGAGAAAAATGCTCCCATGCTTCCTATACAGCAGGGCTCTCAAGATAAAGTAAGTGAAACCTAGATTAGAAACCTACCACAAGCCAAAAGTCTACACAATTACATCATGTTTTATTAACATGGATACAATTAATAATTTCCAAGCAAAAAGGTTGCAATTCTTATTTATTCAGTACCTCTATATGTGCGTGTCCACAGTCCTTTCATCAGTTTGTACTTCTGTATCCAGGTACTTGAATTCTACTCCATTTTCCATTAGTTCACTGGCCTGTAACCTACACAAAAGAAATTATCCCACTCAGGCAGTTCAATTGCGAAGGTTAAAGTGCTGTGGTGCTGCCTTTTATGCCTACATGGGTTTCACTTAGGGTAGGCCCTAGGCTCTGATTTACCGTGTGTCCTGCTGTGGATTTAAGTGATGCAAAGTGATTATCCCGGGCTCTTCCCTGTATCCATCTATTTCACACCTGCACCCCTTTGTTAAGAACACACCATGTTAACTGAGTGTGAGGTCCCCGCTGAATAGGTTTCCACCCTCTGGTAATCCTTTTGCATTAGATTGATTTATGAATGTATCAGATTCTTTGTTAGCATGTAAACCACTAATTAATTTAAAGCTCTCTGTGGAAAAATTAAAGCCCTGGTTAAGGTTTTCAACAGGCTCAGATGGTGCTAATAATGGAAAAACAAGTTATATTAATGGGTTTTGATGYGATCAGCACAATTCTTGCTTTACAAACAGTTTTTGGTATAAAATAGTAGAGGCTGCAAGTTTCTAAGTAAAGAGTGGGGAAGGTAAAAGGGAAAGGCAGAAAAAAAATCACACGATCAGAAAGTTGGGCCATTTTTGCTAGAGATGGAGTCAGCTTTGCTTGTTTCAGCCCTCTTGAGTTACTGGATTTAGATGCAGGTAAGAGCCTCGTGCGAAGCCGCTGGGATTGAAATGCAAACCAGCCCTTTGCCCAGACTGAAAGTGAACCTCTAACGCAATCAGCTTTGAAAAGATCTGTCTTAGGCTCCCTCTTCTCATCATCACTTGCTCCTGAACTGGGCCATTCGCGTGGAGATCGACATGTGAAAGTGCAGAAATGGTCTTGATGGAAGCCTTATTAAAATCAGTAGGAAGCCTGACTGTATTCTCTGTTTCTGCAAACTCCAGGGAGTTCTCAATGTGATTTTAGATGTTTTCTCTTTCACTCAACTCTCGGCCCTSAATTTAGGCGCTAGTTTGTGGTGAGGAGAGAGAGGAGGCAGAAGATGTTTGCGTGAAGAGCTCGGGTGTAATGGAGCTGACAGTAGAAAGCCAAATCCCCCTCTTTCTTTGCAGGAGGCGGCAAATGCCGCAGGAAAGCGGCGTTATTTCCACCCCTTCCCGCTCTCCCGCCGCATCTCCCTCTCGGAGGCCACAGCGCCGCGTGGCTCCCCTCAGGCCGCGGCCCCTCATCATGGCTCCACTCAGGCCGGGTGGCCGGGGTTGGAGGCGACGCTCCCTGTTGAGCAGCGGGGCAGCGGGTCCCTTCTTGTGCACGGCCTTGGGGGGCTGGCCCCCCATATCCGCAGTGCCCCCTGTTCCAAGGGGAGCCTGGTGGCTCTGGGCCGGGCCTGGCCACAGCCACGCGCTCGTGCCCTCCATGGTGGGTCGCTGCGCTCGCCCGGGGCGCCGGGCAAGGCCGGCGGTGTGGAAGCCTCGGGGTTGCTCACAAATACGTGGTATTTAGCAATAAATGAAGTGTTAAGGAGGAGATGCGCTGGGCTAAATGATCTCTCCCAGTGTACRTGTCCTTGCCTCCGTGGAATCATCTGTCTGTGCTTTAATTAGAAAGTTGCGGACAGAGAGCCAAAGTCGCTGTTTTAAAATGTCTCTTGGAATATTAAACATCCTAACGGGCAAGAAGCAGTGTGACCCCGATCCTTCTCCTCTCTGAGGCTCTGTATTTACACAGCTTTCCCACAGGAGCTTTATCATATGGCCCCCACAGAAAGGCAGTGGCGTTAGTGGTAGTTACCATCAATAACGATTATTGAAATCCTTTATGAGTCTAGTTTAATGCTCCTGGACCTCATTAATTGTTCGTACCTCATTAGGCCAAATGTCCTCGTTCACAACTGCACAGCTTTATCTTCTGTGGGTTTAAAATTTGTAATGTGGGAAAAGGCTTGAGATTTTGGTTTGTCTTGTGTCTTTAATGTTTCCTTCTTTTATTTACTTTACATTTGCATTTATGTAGCTATTTTCTTGGCTTTTTGTTCTAAGGACCGGGAATCTAAGGTTTAGTCATGATTTAAAGCAAAATACTCGAGACCTTTAAACAGTCATTTTACAATGAAAATCATGAGCATGTTTGCTCACTTTTTTGAAAGTGAAATGCTGAGAGCCTGATAATGTCTGCTTGGAGTTATTCTGCTTTTCAAAWGGAGTATTAGCCTGAGAATCTGGCCTATTCACTGGATTCCGCAATCAGATATAATGCAAATGCTTACTAAAATCAATTTACTTCTATTCCATTGTCGTTCAAGGTGTGGTAGAAATTTCGTGAGTGTGTAGAGGAATAAAATAAAAATCTTCTTGACAGTTCCTCCCGCCTTAGTGGACTTTCTGAAGTGACTGGCTTTCCACCAGGAGAGGGAGCTACATTCATTTAGAATAACACCCATGGCTCAAGCTCAGTTAAAAAAAGCAACATTTTGCGGGGTATTTAAAGTGCAGAAACGGTGACAGAATTCCAACATCGAGAACAAATCGGAGCCCTCTCTGCCTCACTGGAATTGAAATTTTTAATCCTGTGAAGTTGGAAGATGTTAGCCACCATRTATTTTAGAGAATCCTAAACTTCGAGGGGCTCTTGGTACTTGCCATTGTAAAGGCAATATATTCCGTCCTCACTTTGGTATTTTCTTGCTCCATTTGCCTAGAAATTTACTATAGATCTCACCACTGTAGG